TCAAAATAAATTAAATTCATTCATTAATTCAAAAGAAAATGAATGTGTTAAACATTAAAGAGATTAATCTGTGGAATTAACATGTTGATTTTTAACACATTAATGCATGAACAACAAAGTTATTACTTATGCCATATTAGTAACTCAAATTGGGGGGTCACGAACACAGACTTATGTTGTCTTGGGAGTCGTAGCTCAAGAAGTTTGAGAACCACTGATGTCTTGGATGCCATTTATTTGTGTATTTGTATTTAAAAGGATCCCCAGTAGCTTGTCTTCCTGGGGTCCAGACAATAAAATATCAAAAACAAGCATTACAGTCTCAAGTATAGATAGAACAATAAACAACAAAAACACACAAGAATAACTGAAACAATACATAAACATATATAAAGATAATACATAGAATACTATAATATAGAATAATACATAATATATTTGAGTGTTTTCTCTAACTATAGTAGACTTACTTTTGATTCATTGATCACTATACTGTACTTAGGAAAAATAAAACTTTTTAATATTTAATTGTGCAGAATGATCAGATGAAGTTTGCACAAGAAGCTGGTGAGTTTCGCAGCTCGTCTGGACCAGAGCTCCATCCTCCTCCACTAGATGGAGCGAAATCATCACAACAGTCCAACTGCTCCATTAGTCTGAAGGACAGAAGGTAAACACAGAAGCTGAATTAGAAAACTTCTGCCGAAATTACAAGTTCGTTCGTCCAGTTATTGCGCCCTGAGACGCTTCCAAAGACGTTTAACATTAATAGAGGGCCGAGATTTATTATGGATGCACTGAAGGTGAGCTGATGAATCCAGATTAATTACAGCTACGCCTTAATTAAATCCAACCTTTAACAGTCCATATCCGTTCATCTTGGCCCGCTGTGTTATAATCTCGGCAGGAGGCGACAGAATAGATGAGTTACAGCTTATCTTCTCTGCTGATTAAATTAAGAAAAATTTGTTTTCAGTGGTAGCAGAAATTAAACGGTGCCCTCTGCATCCTTGTGAATGATTTCCACCTCGAGACATGCTAGGAGGAGAAAGTTGTCGAAATTAGCCAAACAAGCTAAGCTACAAAGAGAAACTAGATAGATAGATAGATAGATAGATAGATAGATAGATAGATAGATAGATAGATAGATAGGTAGCATTGCTCCATTTTTCATTGTCATTTTATAGTCTGTAAAATCACTCCGAGGCAGCAGGGTGTGCTCTCCTCAACATCAGACTGTCGAGCTCAGCCAGTTGTACAGACAGCTAGCTAACAACAACAGAAGACCCCGGACAACTAGCGTTTGCAATTTAACCCAATATAAAGGTAAGTCTGTCGACAAATAAAACAGAAAGAACTAATATAAGGTTTAAACACTTAAAATCACACGACAGAGGCCGTCATGTCGCAGTTTTAGTCGCACTTTTCCCGGTAATTTGCCCGACCTTTTTGTTTGGCTTTGGTTAGCCGATACAGGAGTGAGGCTAACTAGCCAGCTAGCTCGTACCCAGTTAGCCGCCGTGCTGTCGCTAGATTGTGTGGATTAGCGGCAGGATTTATGGACTTATAGCGGTGTCGGACGTTGTCACCGCTGTGTTTTGTTCTATTCGTGGGCGCAGTTTTCTTTTATTTGAAGAAGAATACGAATTCAAAGCAGGACACTGATTATGTGTATTGTTAGCAGGTTAACTACCTGCTACTGTCACCGCCTACAACTCACTGCAAAGTGTGAGTTTCAGTTCCCAACATGATCTCCTGAAATGGAAAGTTTAATAGAAATACGTTACATGCCAACTTTGTGGCGTCAATTTAAATTAAAGCGATTCATAATAGATGTCAGGAACAAGTGGGTTTATGAGCTGGGCCTTCCTACTTGTTAATGTTTTTATTTAGCTGATGCCCTGTGTGGATAAATGAAGGCTGTAAATGTTCATGTCGTTGTGGTTTGTTTCCTGAGTCACGTTTCATGGAGCTGCTCAGGAGCCCTTAAGCTGACCAGCTGTCAGCGGTGAATGGTTTGAGTGATGATGAAGTTCAGTGGAGACCCAGAGAGACTGAACACACTTATATTGTCTCATCAGCACAGACACAGTGGTGTGAATGAGTCCAGCTCTCTGGAAACTGATAAACACCGCTCAATGGTTTTACTGCTAATGCCATACTTCCTTATCAGAAGGAGGTTTGTGTATCTCTCATGCAGGTGATAAACACCAATATAGTCTGATGCTGTCTAGCACAATATCCCTACAAAGATTATACTGCGGTTGTATGACAGACATAAAAATGATCCACCACTGGGGAACGTTCCCAGATGCATCCAGCCAAGACCTTGAAATCTACAACTGATGCTACTAACTGTAGGGATTTGTATTATTTTGATGATATCGAGCTTTCATGATATGAGGATGATCTGCATTGTTTAGCACTGCGATGACGATATGATTTGTGATAAATACACGCCACTAATATAGACCCCAAACGCTCAATTTAGAAATTAACTTAATTTTGCTTTAAATGAACAAATTGCACACGAATAACCGCTTAAACAGAACATTAATTTAACTGTAAATATAACAAATTATAGTTTTATTGTCCCTGCTCCCTGCTAACAACTATCTGAAACTCCATCTGAAGGTATGACGCAGGTATCCAGAGCTTCATGTGTTAGGTCAGATGTTCACCTGCTGTCTGTGAAGGCATGGTGTGTGTAAATGAAATCATTTTTGATATTCAGCGCAGTTTTTGTCATACATTTATTGCACATGGGCATATGACGATGAAAATACAATTTATTAGTCAGAACGATTTAGGAGCTCGTGCTGCCTGCAGTAGCTGGAGTCGTTGTTGTTGTCTTGCCATGCAGCAGACTAGAAGTGGTCTTTATTTTAAACTTTTCTTGAGTTCTTCCTTTTGCCATTTATACATGTTTAAGTTTACCCTTAAATTTGCCATTATCATTATCAAACAATTCTAAGTGTAATTTGTCAGGTGATGAATTACGACTGTAGTTTAAAATACGCTTCATTCATGTGATCAGATTTTTGTATCATGAAAAGGAGTCAAACCATTATTTCATCCCTCGCTGGGAAAGCATTACTAAATGAAGAATATTGTTAAATTTGCCTACTTGATATTTCTTGAGGATGCAAGGTGGACCGGTGGTTAGCATCGTTGCCTCGCAGCAAGGACACTCAGGATCTTTCTGTGTGGAGTTTGCATGTTCTCCCCGTGCAGCGTGGGTTCTCTCCGGGTTCTCCGGCTTCCTCCCACAAGGTCTAAAAACATGTTGAAGTTAATTGATGATTCTTAATTGTCCGTAGGTGTGAATGTGAGTGTGCTTGGTTGTCTGTCTCTAAGTGTAGCCCTGTGATAGACTGGTGACCTGTCCAGGGTGTCTCCTGCCTTCACCCCCAGTCAGCTGGGATAGACTCCAGCCCCCCACGACCCTAGTGAGGCTTAAGCGGTGTATAGATAATGGATGGATGGATATTTCTTGATAATATGTAACTGATATGTAGGGAAAGCTCACTGAGACAGTTTCAGACACTAAATTGCTTCATACCTTTTGACTGACTACTACTGGGTAGTAACAATACTTACATTTTTCTCAGCTGGATGTACAGAAATAATGCTAGTAGAGTAGATTGTACAGTTTCTATACAGTATATTATGGATTCTTTATGTTCCACGGTGTTATACTCAGGTGGTCGATGTGAATTCTAATAGTTCGACTCTGTTTTTCAAATGAAGTCTGATTTAACCACTCTTCTCATTTTATTGTGTATACTTAAATTATGTGAAGGTTCAAGGAAACCGTAACATCCTGACACTCTTCATGTTTTCTTTTTGATAGATAAGACGTTACTCGTGTGTGTGTCTGATGAGCTGATATACAAGAGTATTTGCAGATACTGTTCTGTATGTAAAATGATAATCACGATTATTTTGATGTCATGATTATCACAATTACTCATCGATTTTTAAGGTCTCAGTATTTTTGATTTGACTTTTTTTATTTAA